TTTTTTTTTGGAGAGGTTTTTGCTATAGGGCGCATGTGCTCACCAGAAAGACAGAGAGACAGAGAGACAGAAAGCAAGAAATCACCCCCCAGGGGGACGGCCACACCGTAATCCCTTCTCCTCCATTCTCTTCTCGGAATCTTGGGCACACAAGCACATGTGCCCAGCCGTGAGTTTAAGCTACCAGGTCCGGGACTTGAACCTTGGTCGACAACATGGGAGTCTGCAACATAGCTATTATACTAACTGCTGGTCCCGACTACATGGGAGTCCAGAGACATAGCTAGTACACCAACTGGTGGTTCCCAGGCTGGATTTTTTAACATGTGGTTACATTAAGGGTTTTTAGACATTTTATGTTTAAGTGTTTTAAAAGGACATTTGCTTTTTAGTTTATTTATAGAAAAATGATGTGAAATCAAGCAGAAAAGGCTTGAATCAGACGTTTGGTAGTTACGGTAGCGTTGAGCCTCTGGATCATGCAAGCAATTACATTCTCTGATACCGATCTATTCTAGAGATGCACAATTGTGGTAGCCCATCTGGTCTGATTCTAACCTCTCAGCATTTCTCTAAAGTTCTGCAAGAGCCAAGGCAAGGAAAAAACAACAACAAAAATTTCATGCAGCATACTTGTCAAGAAACGCAGTTCATAAATCACTGCTGATATTTCTCCTCACAGGACACACAGGGCTTGTATTCTATAACATTTGTTCCCAGCAGCAGTTCATGTGTTGGCTGAAGTAGCCTCTTTCACTCATTCTGTCGTCTGCTACTGTGGAATGGGGGATCAGAGCCCAGAGAGCAGTTTTTACTAGAAAGGAGCAAGCTAATGAATGATTACAAGCATTTCAGTGGTTCATAGCTAGTAAGAACGGCTGCGAGTACAAATGTCGCTTCTCTCTGCTTGTTAAACTGTAAACTTCCTGCTCACTTTCAGGGCATGGGGGCTCTGCACAGTTCCTCACTGAGAAGGATAAAGCTTGGTCTAACGCTCTGCTGTTGCTATCTTAAAATTCTTCATTCTTTGTTCTTTTGAGCACAGGGCACACATTTTCATTTTGCTCTGAGCCCCACGAGTTATAAAGCCATCCTTGGTCCTCATTTCCAAATATTCTAGGTAATTGTTTTTGTATGTCCAGAAACTTCTGCCTGGCATTTAAAGGGTGCCCATTAAGTGTTTTACCATAAGTAAATGAGTGACTTTTTACAGCTTTAAAAGGAAAGTAACTAACTTGACTCTTTGTCCATTTAATTTCACTGGGATAGAAAGTCAGGAAGAGGTACTTATTTTGTTTTGTTTTGTTTTGAGAAGTTTTTTCTATAGGACACGTGTGCTCCACAGACAGACAGAGAGAAGTAGAGAGACAGAAAGCAAGAAATCACCCCCTAGGGGGGATGGCCACGCCGCAATCCCTTCTCCTCCGTTCTCCTCTTGGGATCTTGGGCACACATGCACATGCGCCTGGCGTGAGTTTAAGCCACTGGGTCCAGTACTTGAACTGTGGTCGACTACATGGAAGTCCAGCGACATAGTCATTACGTCAACTGCTGGTCTCCATATCATCTTAATTTTGATTCTGTAACTGGAAAATTCCCCAATCCTATTCATCAGCCTGGTGAACTGTTCCCCATTTTGGGGAGAATTAAATGAATCATATATATTAGACCTAGCATTTAGAAAGGTGAAAGAAGTAGAGGTGAGGATTTCTCCGAAGTGTATATATATATGAGTATTATGAAGCACTACGCAAATAATGTAACAGTGATCTTGAATTCGTATTGTTTACATTTTCTTTCTGTACCCTTAACTTGGATATTGGTCTTAATTCTTTTTTATAATGATAAGAACATTTCTTCCTTAAATGTAGTCCTGGATTCTTTTACAAATTGAATGATATCGTGTCTAACACATCTTCCATGGGTGGTTAAAGGCTTAAATTCATACATGTATGAAAGTACAATATCAAGTACTTAAAAATTACACCTATGTTTTGCTCTCTGCGTAATTATAAAAAAGGAATATCTAGAGTTTTCCCATTTTCATCTTGCAAAGTAGCAAATAATGGAATTGAGAATTGTGCAATTCTGTCTGCTGCACAGACACCAGCTTGAAATCAAATTTAAAAATCTAAACTCGCATTGAGCAAGTTTTTCATGTTCCCTGTAAGCTTTTCTAAAAAACCTGAACAGAAGCCAACATCAAGCTTGCTCTTCCAAGTAGTTTGGACTCTGAGAAATATTAAACTGGAAATTACATTCTGTACCTCCCTGTGATTTTAAACGTTCTACTTTGATTATCCAATAGATTCTATACAATTCGCTATAGAGAAAAGGACAAGGAAAAGAAATGGATTTTTCAACTCTGTCCAGCCACTGAAACAATTGTGGAAAATCTAAAACCCAACACGGTTTATGAATTTGGAGTGAAAGACAATGTGGAAGGCGGAATTTGGAGTAAGATTTTCAATCACAAGACTGTGGTTGGAAGTAAGTACCCAGAACAGTTTGTTTCAGTATGATTTTTTGTACTTTTTCCCCTATTTTTTTCTTTTTATCCAATTTTAATTATTTTATCTGTTGTGTAATTTGAAATAATTCGATGCCTTAGCATTTGATAATATATAAAGACAATAGAATTGAGTGGATATTGACATTTCAGAAGCTTTTTTAGTAAGTGATTTTTAAAATAATTGATAAATATTTAAGTCCACTGATAAGTTATTGGCTGTTGTATTATAGTTTTTAAAAATAATCTCTGAGCTGTGCACACCACGTGAGCCAGAAAGGAAAGAAAACGTTACGTACATGTGTTCAGAATGGAAAGTCGGACCCAAAGGCGTAAAGGGACATTTTGATAGTGAGAGCTTCTTCTGGTTTTTTGTTCCTTCCAACTTCATTGAAATCAGTGTTTGAAATTATAGTAGTTAAAATAATCCACCTAAATTGGAACATAAATTATAGTTGTTTTCATAATCTAGAAATGATTCGGCACCAGAAGAATGAAAATGATGTCATTTCCCCTTCATTTTTCAGGTAAAAACAAAGTAAATGGGAAAATTCAAAGTACCTATGACCAAGTTAACACAGTGGTATGTACCAGTTAGTTTGAAGATTTTCTTTTCATTTTAGTTGTGCCTACATTGTATTTTTATTAAAATAAGTAAATAGTCTTTTTATAAGGTGCTGAAACTGAATTAACTAACTATGGGACACTGGGAAAAGTCCTTAATGTTTTAGAAATCTTTTTTTTTCCCCAAAAAAGTGGGTGGAGATATGATCCGGCTCTTCTCTGCTTTGTTTGAAGCTCTAATGTTCTTAGATTCAATGTAATTATGATACTATTTCCCTATTATGAGTATTTGGAATTTTGAAGTTATACTTAGTAGCTTCTGTGCTGTGAATTGTTTTGAATATAACATTTCAAGAGTGAATCGGTCCATGCTCTAGGTATACTCCTGCAGCTCAAATCTCTCTTGCATGTATTCTTTTTTATTATTATTACTTTCTACCTAATAGAGCCAACCATTTCACAAGGATGAAACAACTGGTCTGGTTTTGTAACACACCCAGGCACCATTGGGGTCAGTAAATGTTTGTGTATTTTATGAGCCAGACGTTTCCTCCTCACGATATAAGTGCCCTTTTCTCTCTCACTTCAGCAACTAGTCCTTCATGCTTTCTTCCTCCCACTTTTCAAAATCTGTTCTCAGGAAGTATGTCAGCCTGGTACTATCTGGTGTAAATACAAACCACTGCTATAGCCACCATGGAGATGTCTGTGTTTCAGATTACATACCCAGTTATAAATAAAGAATGTTATGAAACTGAGCAGGTAAAGGAGGTACTTTGGGGAAAAGAGAAGAATTTGATTCTGGCTTTGGAAGTATGGTTGAGCATCCCTAATCTGAAAATCTGAAATCTAAAATATTTCCAGATCCAAAATATTTTGATCTTGTGATGTGATGCCTGACCTCGCGTGATAGGTCACAGTCAAAGTGCTGCAATGCAAAAATACTGGAGAAAATTACTTTAAGGCTATGTTTGTGTTTGATCTTCTGATGTGACACAAGTAGAAAATTCCATGCCTGACCTCGTGTGATAGGTCACAGTCAAAGTGCTGCAATGCAAAAATACTGGAGAAAATTACTTTAAGGCTATGTTTGTGTGTTGTTACAGGAAACATAAGTGAATTGGTGATTAATTTGGGGTCCTATCCCCAAGATATCTTATTGTATATATGCAAACATTCCAAAAGCTGAAATACTCAAAATCTGAAACACTTCTGATCCTACACTTTTTTTTCTTTCTTTTTTTTTTTTTTTTTTTTTTTTTTTTGGGAGAGATTTTTCGTTTTTTTTTTTTGAGAGAGATTTTTGCTATAGGGCAATTGTATTCACTGCAGAGACAGAGAGTGAGAAATTACCTCCCAGAGGGATGGCCACCCTACACTCCTTTCTCCTCTATTCTTGGGATTTTAGGCATGCATGTACATGCGCCAAGTGTGAGTTTGAAGCCACCGAGTCCAGGACTTGAACCAGTAGACTACGTGGGAGTTCAGAAATATAACCATTACACCATCTGCTGATTCCTAAACTTTTTTTTTTTTTTTGGCTACATGGTGTATGTGCTCACCAGAAACAGACAGAAGGAGAGGGAGAAAGAGCGAGAATGAGAATCACCCTCCTCCCCAGGAAGATGGCTACACAATCCCCTCTCCTCCATTCTTCTCTTAGAATTTTAGACACACGCACCTGGCATGTTTTTCAAGTTGTTAGGTCCAGGACTCAAACCACACAGTTGGCCATGTGGGATCCAGCCACCTAACCACCATGCCAACTGGCTGGCCCCCCAAACATTTTGAATAAGGAATAATCAGTCAGTATCCATCAGGTAAGTATCCTACAGTTAGGTGAACATGCAAAGCTTCTTTTCGTGGGTACAGCTTTGCCGTCTTCAATGTACACATGGCCTGTGTGTATGGATATCTTTCTGAGGACTAATTAAATATGCAGAATGCCAAAATGGTCACATAGCATAGTTTGGAAAAAGTAGTCCATATCTCATCAGATTACGAAGAGAGAGGGGGAGGAGGATTCTTTTCAGTGAAAGGAAATGGACTTGAATAAAATAGGAATGAGAATAAATCCTAATAAGGGAAACTTTTTTCTATGATTTGAAATGGCAGAAAGTGTATTCATTGTGAAATTGTTATCAAATAATTACTGCGATTTCTAGGGATGTATTTTGATTTCACATCTTAATACAAAGAAAGAAAATTGCAAAACAAATTGCAAGCTTAATTTTTTTTTCTTTTCTTTCTTTTGTCTTTTAGGCTTTGCTGTTTTTCTAATTATCTAACATTTAAAGATTTAGAATGTAAAAATGGGAAAAGAAGCAGTAACAAGTTACCTGTAACAAAACTACCTATAAGAGCAATTTACATTACTGCTAAAGCTTCAGAATAATTTTTTTCTGTTTTCCAAGCAGTTTTCATTACAGAATTAAAATCATGCTATATATGCAATTTTATATATTGCTGTTTTCACTTAGTGAAAATATGGCATGTAATTAAATGTTCTCCACAAACATAATTCTAATTGATATGCATTACATAATCTAAACACACTATCATTACTTAGTTTCCAATTTGTATATATTTATTTCTAATTATTTAAAATTATGAATGTTGTAGTAAAATAATACAGTTTTGTTCACATTTGATTTTTTAAAAAAAAAAATAGACACTTAGAAGAAAAATTAACAGTTTAGATTTTTAACATTTTTAAGCCTTCCTAGTATGTTCGGTCAAATTCCTTTCCAGAAAGGTTGTACCAATTTATAATCTTGCTAACTGTGTCAGTTTATGTTGTTAAAATATCTTGATTAATAACATTATGTATTTGTATCACTAACATAATAGTTTAAAATGGTTATTTTAGTTTCCATTCCTCTGCTGATAAGGTGGTATTTGTCTACTAGCCACTTGTGTTTTCTATTTAATAACCTTCAGCTGCAGTTCTTCCTTTAACAGGCATTTGTTAAGTTTTGTACTGACTAGTTTCAAAACTTTATAGATTAAAGAACATGTTTGTGATGTCATTGAGAAAAATTTTTCTCACATTTGTTGTCGGTTTTATTTACAGGAATTTTTTAAATAGGCAAGTCTCAAAATTTGCTTAACCATGTTATGACATTTTTCCATAATCATATCTCCAATTAATTGTATTATAGTTTAGAAAGCCCCTTGTATCTAAAACAAAAACAAAAAACAAAAAAACAAGTATTTCTCCCCCTTCTCAAATGTTTTGTAAATGGTTTTATTTTGTAATAATTAAACTCTAAACTATGTGGATTTTAGTTTGCTATAGTATATAGTAAAGGTCTATTGATTAAGCTATGTCCTTTTTTTTTTTTTTCCAAATAATTAACCAATTCGCCTACCACTATGTATTGTTATGTCACCCTGTAAGGGCCCTTTGGCATTGTTTTTCTTAATTCCAATCAGTATTGTTAAGGAAAGGTGGATCTCTTGTACCTCACAGGGGGAATATTGGAATAGAGTTTCTCGTTCATCCTCTTCTAGAACAATGCTTTTTCTTTGTTGTGAATGGTTTCCTTGGAAGCATGTCTTGTCTCCTACCCTCTTGGCCATTATGCTTATTCTTCATGTGACTCAATGATGTCACTCTTTCATTCCTTCTTATCATATCCCAATATGTTGTATTTCTTTTGGCAGAATATTTTACTTAGGGTGAGTTACTCAGCAAGATTGGAACAGATGATCGACATTTTATGCCCAGGGAATTTCATTTCTTTTTCCTCCTTATAAACAGCCTGATAGGAAGGGTGAGGAAGCAACTTCCTGCATCTATGACACAGGGCCAGACGTTTCATCACTTCAAGCTGTGAGGCGGAGCACCCCAACTCCAGCCAGCTTTGATGAGCTGTGGTTTAAAACTCTTGTTATTTCCAAGGGAAAACCCAGATTAATTGAAAAGATATTTTAAGGCTTCTCTGTGAAGCTTTATCATTGCCTTCTGGACAGAAGAACAATGTTCATGAACTGAGATCTCTGCCGTTGGGTAGTTCTGGGACACGGAAAGTTGAAAAGAATCATTGGGACAGCTTTTGACCATCTGATGTGACCACATGGAATTGATTCTGAAAATTGATTTGAAACTTCACAGGATATTTTGATGAAAATAGGTCTATATCTAGATATTCATTCTGTTTTTTCTCTGGCTAGTTCTTATGAATCAGTATTTTAAGAGACATGAAATTAATTCCAGATAGTTTACCTTTAGTGTTTCAAGCAAAAGACACCTTGAAAACTGCTTTAATTCATATATACATGGTTACACCTAAACTTTATAAATGGCAATATCTCTTTAACATCTCCCTAAAAGAGAGACTTAAAAAGGGAAAAATAATTTGAAGATTAGCATATCCTTTTAAGGTTTTTTCTTTATTTTCAGAGGTCTATTTTTTTATTTAATCATTTGCCCATCTTTACAGCATATAAAGTTTTTTTCCCAGCATGAATATACTATCTACTGTATATTAATCCAGTCAAAGACGTTACCATTCACATTATCCTCAACAAATCATTTTCCATTTTTGTGTCCATTGAATGTTTTACTTCCCCCACTTGAGTCTCTTCCTCCCAACCCCTGGTTGCCTACCCTACTCCCATTGATGTTAAAAATGTTAAGTGCAGGTTCATCTTATTAGTAAGTCATCTAGGTATATGTTCTGGCAAATGTCTCAGTTCAGTTATGCCAGGGACATGGAGCAGGGGGTCACTTCTGATTGGTTAGTGCTTTTATCTACCAATTGTCGTATGCTTTCACTATCAGTCCTGCCCATACCACCAGAAAAAGTATGTATGAGTAAACAAAACCCTGATCCTTTCTATGTAATATAAAATGTGTCACATGAAATCCAATGATCAACTGAGGAAGAAAAACATACAATTATCATGACACTTGTGCAGTTTATTCCATTTTGAGGATCTAGCATAGTTCGTTCAATGGAGCTAAAGAGTTAGGTTTTAGATAATTAGGTATTTAAGGTAACTAGGTTTTATTAT